GCTGGAGGAGCTGCAGCTGGACCCCGGCACCGTCCAGCGCATCTTCCCCTGCCTGGACGAGCTCAGCCACATCCACGAGCGCTTCCTGGCCCAGCTCCTGGAGCGGCGCCGGGAGTCGCTGGCCCAGGACAGCAACAAGAACTTCGTCATCGACCGCCTCGGTGACATCCTCATCACCCAGGTGGGCAGAAAATGGGGATTCGGGGGGTGGGATGCAGGGAGATGAGGGTTTGGGGGATTCGGAGGCGGTGAAGGGGTTAGCAGGGTGCTGTGGGGTGGGGATGGTGGAGGGGACGCTCTCACTGATGGCCCCTTGTTGTTCCCACTGCCAAGTTCTCGGGCCCCAGTGCGGAGCAGCTGCGCAAAGCCTACGCCGAGTTCTGCAGCAAGCACACCAAGGCGCTCAAGGAGTACAAGGACCTGCTGGCCCGGGACAAACGCTTCCAGCAGTTCATCAGGGTGGGCTCCCTGGGGACCCCCGGGCTGGGGAGTGGGGTCTGCATCTTCTGGGGGACCCCTGGGATGGGGATCAGGGTCTGCATGTCCCCAGGATTGGAGCTGGGGTCTCCATCCTCTGGGTGACCCCTGGGCTGGGCATCAGGATCTCCATCCTCTGGGGAACCCCTGGGATGGGGACTGGGGTCTGCATCCCCCCAGGATAGGGTTTGGGGTCTCCATCCTCTGGGGGACCCCCAGGATGGGAGCTGGGGTTTCCATTCCCTGGAGGATCCCTGGAATCAGGGTTGAGGTCTCCATCCTCTGGAGAACCCCTGGGCTGGGGATCAGGGTCTCAATCCTCTGGAGGATCCCTGGGATGGGGGTTTGGGTCTCCATCCTCTGGGGGACCCCCAAGCTGGGGATCGGGGTCTCCATGCTCTGGGGCACCCCTGGGATGGGGATTGGGGTCTGCATCCCCCCAGGATGGGGTTTGGGGTCTCCATCTTCTGGGGAAACCCTGAGCTGGGGATGGGGATTTTCATCCTCTGGGGGACTCCCAGGATGGGCATCAGGGTCTCCATCTCTCCATCCTCTGGGGGACCCCCTGAATGGGGGTCTCCATCCCCCTGCACATTCCAGTGGAAAACCCTTCTCCCACCTCCTTGCCTCAGTTTCACCAACTTGTGTCCCTCCCTCCCTGAGCTCCGGGCGTCTCTGCATTATGGGGAGGGGGAGTCCCTGCTGATGGGGGTCNTCTTTTTTAGGGTGGCCTTGCCAGGACAACTCTGTCATGGTGGCTTTTTTGGGGTGGCTTTTTTGGGACAGCTTTTTTTGGGGTGGCTTTGCCAGGACGACTTTGCCATGATGGTTTTTCTGGGGTGGCTTTTTTGGGGTGGCATTTTTGGGGTGGCTTTTTTGGGGTGGCTTTTTTGGGATGGCTTTTTTGGGATGGCTTTTCTGGGATGGCTTTTTTGGGATGACTTTTTTGGGATGACTTTTTTGGGATGGCTTTTTTGGGACGGTTTTTTTGGGGTGGCTTTTCCCCATCATGTCCCCATCATGTCCCACCCCCTCTCCAGGAATTTCAACGATGACTCTCCCCTGGGCATCCGGCGCATCCTGTCCCAGTCCACCGATTCCCTCAACATGCGCAACCGGACGCTCTCGGTGGAGTCGTTGATCGACGAAGGTGGGGACAGCGCCGGGGACAATGTGAGGACACAGGGGAGGGACACGGGGGCTCCATGTCCCCGCTGATGTCACCTGCAGGCCCTGACGTCATCCTGAGCCAGCTGCTGAGCGATCTGGAGGCGGATGGGAAGGAGTTTGAGGCGGATTCCTGGAGCCTGGCGGTGGATAACAGCTTCCTGCAGCAGCACCGCATGGACGTCATGAAGCGGCAGGACGTCATCTACGGTGAGGGGACAGAGGGACAGGGACACGGGGACAGGGGTGGGACACAGGCGTGGGGAATGTGAGGGTGGGAAAGGGATACAGGTGTGGGGATGCAGAGTGGGGGACACAGGGACGGGAGAAACGGGAATGGGGACAAAGGGACAGGACAGAGGGTACGGGGACAGGGAGGCAGGAATGGGGACACAGGGCCAGGCTGGGTGGCTGTCCCTGGGGTCCTGCTCCCTCTGTGCTGTTGTTGGGGTGCTGTCCCTGCCCTTGGGGTTGCTGTCCCTGTCCCTGAGAGTTCTGTCCCAGTCCCAGGGGATGCTGTCCCTGTCCCCGGGGCTGTGTCCCTGTCCCCAAGAGTGCTGTCCCTGGTGTTGTGTCCCTGTCCCCAAGGGTTCTGTCCCAGTCCCTGTGGGTGTATCTCTGTCCCCGTGGTGTGTCCCTGTCCCTGGGGGTGTGCCCCTGTCCCTGGGGGTTCTGTCCCTGAGGATTCTGTCCCTGTCCCTGAGGGTTTTGTCCCTGGGGCTGTGTCTCTGTCCACAAGGGTTCTGTCCCTATCCTCAAGGGTTCTGTCCCTGTCCC